AATTTACTGCACCCTCACCTCAGCGTGTAGACGGCAGCCCCCTCTGGGATAATATTATTGGCCAGTGCTCGCCGCTGAAGATATGCAGAACGATACCAGAAACAAAGGAGAAATGGCTAAATGGGATTGATGAAGAACTACGCATTGGGATTGGAAAACAATTGGACGCAACCGAGAACCCAAAACCCAGCGCTGAGTCCTTGTACGAAGATATACGAACAACCTTTCCAGACAGCGCTCCTTTTGTTCTCACCCACGCCGACCTTAATATGGGCAATATTATCGTACATGATGGAAAGATTTTGGCCATTATCGACTGGGAGCTCGCAGGCTACTATCCCTGGTGGGTTGAGAGATGGGCGTCGTACCAGCGCGCAGTGAGTGGTAACGCATATGAACTCTTCCACATGGTCTGGGCAGAGGTTAGCCCGGAACTACCTCTCCACGAGTTTGTAGAAAAGACTTATCGCCCTGTAAAGAAGGCTGCTAACGCATATTCATTTGCGCCTATTAAGCATACGCAAAGCCATGATGTGTGGTTGCGCCCGGGGTGGTGTGAATGTAAGCCGCACGCAGGAAAATGTTGTGGCAAAGATTGGGGCGCGGAGTTGAAGCATGAGATTGATTATAATCATCATAAGAGAAGAGCAGGAATCCCCAAGAAGAAGTTTGATCGGGAGGTGGTATTGAAGGAGGATGTTACACCGGGCGGAGACGAGCCCCAGGATGAGCGGTTAGAGAAGGTTCACTTGTAGTCTCTAGCAGAGAATATCTTCTTACCTTTGCCTTGATCTGGGTCGGTTTGTAGTATGATACGAGCAGTGGCCAGGAAATCGGCGATGCAGTCCCCTGTTGACACTGGGAAGAGGTTTTTCACGCTAGACTGTGCATGAATGTGTTCCCGGAGTGTGGCATTCTTGTCCTTGATGATAATTGCCAAATTCGGATCGACGCCCACCCGTACGGCAACAAGTGTGCTAGCTTGGAGAAAACCCATGGCGTCATCAAGCCAATCTGCATGGAGTCTTTCGCAGTCCAATACATCTGCACTCGAACCGAAAGACAGATTGAGGTGCCAAAACAACGAGTAAGTATCTATCCTTTGTCTTGCCTTGCGGGATGGACGATAAGGCGTTACCCATTGTGAGCAACATAAGGCTGCTGAACGGCTTCATGGTGATTGGTCCCAACAAATGTACAGGAAGTTGATCAATCTCCGCTTGCCACGAAAGTCTGCATATCATCACAGTACACGACCTTCATTCCGATGGCCGTGTAACTAAAATGCATATCAACCTGTACAGCTGATTGGACTTTGATCGCAACTAATTTTCCCCCTGCAAATATGGTTGTCGTCGACAATGCCTATAAGTACCAACTCACCATGCATGTCCCCTACGCTTCCTGGTTTGATCTTGCGACTCAATTCCAAGGTGTGTTGATTTAAAGATAGAAATCATCGAAGACAAATAAGCCCATACAATGGGAGCTACCTCGAGCGTACCCACGTACGTTGTTGGAGATGTACCCGGGAAAGGCAAAGGACTTATCGCGACCGAGGACATTCCCCAAGGCACGCGAATTATTTCCGAGAAGCCTTTTATCACTTCCGGCCTTCATGTCGCAAGTATGGAGGAATTGCAGGTCAACATCTACCAACAAGTCAGCTCTTTGAGTGAAAGCCAACAACAGGCGTTTCTTTCTCTGCACAATATCCATCGTTACACCAATGCGGCATCGAGGTACCGTGGTATCTTTCGAACGAATGCTCTACCATCGGCCCGAACTTACGCAATGGAGGTATATTCCTGATAGCATGTCGACTCAATCATGCTTGTGACAATAACGCACAGAACTTCTGGAACGAAAACCTCGACCAGCTCACGATACATGCTGTAAAAGATATTCCCAAAGGAGAGGAGATTACGATCTCCTACCTTAGCAGTCGTAGAGGTCGCCATCTGCGGCAGGAAGAACTGCGCAAAAACTTCAAATTCACGTGCTCGTGTGCACTGTGTTCCTTGCCACCCGATCAGAGTAGGGAGAGCGACTCGAAGTTGAACCGCGTTCATGAATTGGACTGCGTTATCGAACAAGCTGGCGTACGAGGGCTAGTTTGGCCAGCCCAGCGCATGCTTAGTTACGTCGATGAACAAGTCCAGCTCTGGAACGTACCGGCTCCTGACATAATCGGCTTAGTGCGGGCATATCCGGACGCGTTCGAGATTGCTATTGCGAATAGCGACTTGGCGAGGGCCCGCGTCTTTGCAGAGAGATGTTTGTCCCTGTATCGTATCACTGGCGGCGACGATAGCCCTGAGGTGCCACAATATAACAATCTGATCCAAGACCCTAAGACGCACCGCCTCTATGGCATGTCAATGAAGTGGAAGACAACGCTGAACGAAGTTCCCCATGGGCTAGGAACAGAGGAGTTCGAGGACTGGCTCTGGAAGAGGAAAACGAAGAGTACACAAGGACAAATGGCAAGTCTTCGCGATCGCGAGACTTTTCCTAGCTACATCGACCTTCCAGACGAGCACGATTTGGGAAAGAGAGATCTCAGCAACAAGAATGTGGACCATCACCATTCAGTGCCTTACTGGTGCTTTCTGGCTGAGATCAGAGATATTAACTACTTCATCCGTCTGCACATGACTGTGGAGGATGTAGACGGCGCACTTGTTCCACTTGCTTTTCATACCAGTCTCCGCGGCGGTGAGTTATCGGAGTCGCAGACTCAAATTGGAAACACCGTTGCGATTATGTACGCCGTACGCCATGCGTTCATGTTCAGTGAGCCTGGTATCCGCCACGAAGATCCTAAAATGATAAAGGTAAGGCACTCAGAATATTGTAATGCGATCTCGCCGAAACTGCTAATGACAAGCCTGCAGATCTTCCCTTTGCCACTAAACAGACTGCAGGACTTATGCGACAGCTTCGAGGTCTTCTCCACAAAACTTGATGGGATCACCACATGCCATACTTGTGGCAAGAAGGGGACTTCTCTCAAGCGATGCGCCAAGTGCTTGACATTTTGGTATTGTGACGACGTAAGATTTAATCCTATGAGGATCCCATATTGGTAGCTGACGTGCTGTGAAAAGGTTTGCCAGAGAGCTGACTGGTTTGAAAACGGACACAAGGCCGAGTGTAAGGTGTTGAAGGACCCGGACTGGAAAACAATGCTTCGTTTTAGATCGGTGAATTTGGATAGTAAGGTGCCCACCTTCCATGGTACATAGCAGAGAACATCGAAGGGGAAAAATACGCAGTCGAATAATAGCGGAGATCTTTGTGAGGGCTCGGGGATAGTAATTCGTAAAGTCTTGAGAGAGGTCAAAATACTGCCCCGAACCAGTTCTCTACCAGATTACGTTCCATCGACTGAGCTTTACAAACCTCTTGGAGACTCTTGCAGATATGATCATACTGTTAAGATAGTGTTCATAAAGGAGAGTTAAACAATTCCCCTGTGGAATTTAGGTAAAGACAGAAATGTAGCTGTTCAAAAAACCATGCTATTCGCCTGTTGGTACTCTTAGCCTGTTTATGCCCTCCAAGGGACTGCATCTATGGGTCAGGTTTCTTCGATTTATAATAGAGCGTAACATAGCTTCTCGTAAGCTTTTGGTTCTTTGAATCAACATGTTCGTTTGTACGTTGGCCTTGTACATAGCTGAAGTCTTGGTGCTTATTGCATCCCAATCTGGATATGACCTCAAGGCAGTGGTACAGGCTCGTTCACCGGTTGAAATTTGGTCGAACAACAGAGCCACTGCACAAAGATGTCCCTCAGCATGGATGGCTGCGTGCGGGACTGTGGTGAGAGATGCATCGACAACGGAGACGAAGGTCACTTGTTGTCCGAGGTAAGGCGAGGCTGCTTTCTTGTTCTGGATTTCTGTGCTGGAATTCCATCGAGTATCTGCACTGGTTGGATATATCACTAAGACGTATCCTACTGGGATAATAGTAATTACATCTGCGCAGTAGCAGCAGTGACTGCCAGTCCATGGAATACCTTCCCCTGTAGCAGAGTCGACAGTGATGCCGTCAAGGCCATCGTTCCGCAGTCCGATGGCAGCAGAACAACCTACATGGAGACCACGCTCGGGGCCTCAGTTTTGGCGTATACAGACGCGGTACAGGTCCGATATCAGAGGACCGACCTTCCTGTAGGGATTCCCAACGCATTAATGGGATCGCCCAGTACTACTCCTACGAGCAGCATCATGCAATCGCGATCGGGCGCGCTGCCTACACGATCGAGCGACAACGTCAAGGACATAAGTACATCGGCCGCAGATGATTAAATTCACGGTGGAGATGGCAGCTGGTGTCCTGGAGCATATGCTGGGATAGGGTTTGCGCAGTCTTGTTGACTGTGCGGCGACGGAGAGAAGGTAGTAATATGAAAGATACAGATTCTAGTAATTCGAGGCAAGACGAGAACATGCCTGAGATGCATGTTGCATCGCCGCTTGCAGAGATGTCCGTACCCTCGCATGTTTGGGAAGCGGCCAGAGAGGTGCTGGAAAATGAGGGGCGACACGGTCATGCCGGCAGAGTTGGGGTCGAGAGTTGGGGTCGAGACTTGGGTTACATCAGCTAGAGTAATTTTTCTGAGATTGACTAGTGATCGCGAGGAAGGTATATCGTGTGTGTGTGTGTGTGTGTGTGTGTGTGTGTGTGTGTGTGTGTGTGTGTGTGTCCCTGATCATGCCTCTGATGCATTCAACTTACTTTTATGGTCTCATACGCGTAGATCTTGAACGTTGGGGATCCACCAACACTAGCGCCCCTTGGAACCCAGCCAGTCGTTTATCTCTAGCTAGCCCCTCTTTTGCGCCGCTCTGTATCCACACAAGCTTCCCCCTGCCCCACCCCACCGAATCTCTCGTTTAGTCTTTCACCAACACATGACATTTGCTGGTATATTATCCATTTGATTCAGATTTTGACCATCCACTACTTCATACCGAAGTACAGACCAAGCCAGCTTGGCGCAGTGGTAACGCGTAGCACTTGTACTAAACGACATGCTAAGATCGCTCGTTCGATTCGGGCAGTTGGCAAATATCATATTTTTGCCCTTCATTCTCTTACAAAACTTCAATCGCTGAACCTCACGACTTGGAGGTGCCTGAAGTTTTTGGCCAAATTTCCTTTTCTGCAGAGTAAATAAGAAAGGAGAACAAAGACTAGCTAGCAGTTTCAGGAAGGGCAGGTTCTTTAGTTCTTTATTGCCCGCGACAGGCTAGGTGTTTAGTCTCATCTCAAGCTTAGTCTGTTGACGATACAACGACGCCATTATATACTCGCTACCGAATGCAAATGATAGCTCGCACCAATCTCAACATCGTCTCGAGTCGACCTAAGCATTCTCATCGCACCCTTCTTATCACGAGGATCCGTAACATGTACGGGAAAAATGTCAATTGAGCAACCTGTCACTGCGCTTCCACCACTTCGAGCCCAGGCTTACGCAACTCCGTGATCCTCATGCCCATCTTCTCATGACTACAGCATGTCCACAACTTATCGAGCGTACCCATGAACCAACCCCTGCAGTAGTCTACTCCACAACTTTCAACTCCCCCGTCTCAGTGATGAACGCAAACCCAAACACATCCATGCCCGCCAGCAATTTATCCTCCTTCAGAACCTGCACATCCTTCCGAATCGTCTCCTCAAAGTCCTCCGCCGCAAATGCTCCAAACTCCATTTCATTCGCACGCCCCGCCTCGCCCGGCGTCCTCTTCTTGACGTCATCTCGAATACCTTGGGTAGTAAGATGCGTCATTCCGCAATCTAGTACTCGACGAATCCACATCAGCAGCTGCAGTAGCAAATCAGGCGAGCTCAGGAGTAAAGGAGAAGAGTAAACGTACCAGTATGATGTACAACAGCCACCGTTCCCCCCTCACTGACCAAATTCAAGCTCCGCAGCGTCACAATGCTAGCAATCGTATCAGGCGTGATGCGCCCGCCGGCATTGCGCACAGAGCCGAAGATGAGGTCGCCGCCGAGGAACTGCGCTGGGTCGCAGCGTGGATCCATGCATGTCACTACACCACCACGCGCCGTGTTAGTGATGGGAATAGAGATGGAGGTGGGCAGGGCGAGGGGGGGACGTGCCTATCATGAGGGGATTCTCAGGCCCGAGGCCGTTTTTCCTTATCGCGGTCATGGGCGGGGGCGTCTTCCATCCTGGACGCCATTTTGCGTTTCCAGAGAGGAAGCGTTCGATTGTCGTGTTGGGGGCCATTGGAGATTGAGGAGCTGTTATCGTTGGTAGAGAGTTGGATGGGTTTGAGTAGCTTCTGGACGCTGGATGCTGGGCCTTATATACACCAAACTCTGGACTTGGTGTGTCCATGAACGTGATTCTGATGTTAACATATTCCTCTTGCAGACACAGCTGCGTACGTAGTCCATTTGGAATACATCTTAGTCAAGGTAGATCTTGTTCCACGGCAGCTCGTCAGACATGGTGCAGGAGGCCGGCAGCGTGAAGGATGCAGCGCAATTGGACGTATTCAACCCTGGGTAGGGGATTGTGTCGAAATAATAGGCAGCTATGTACTTGTCAACGTATGTTCTCAGCCACTAGGCGCACATATAAACGCGGGGTTGAACGCGTTTCGACGCAAGGAGATTATACATCACGGAGTAGATGCATTGCTTATAGCACTCGTGGTATGGAAGTGTGGCCGAAGCAGCGTGATAGGGCCGAGCATAGGAGAGTGTCGTTTACTCATCATGTGTTCACTCATCACATATTTCCAAGGTTCTGTACACTTCGCACTCTCGTGATTCGTTTGAAAAACATGGGTTCAGTAATCAAGTCTTTAGTCATAGCTGGTCATTTGTGTATGTCTTTTTGGATTGGTTCTACCATGCATTTGTAGTCGTAGTTCCACACCAAGGGTATCTATTCCACGGCTGTTGAATGGCCATACCCATACCCCAGTTTTGTTCCGACGCCAAGACACCTTGCCATGCCTCTGCTCAACCATTTCCTGGTCGGATCCAGCTCGACGTGGCGGGTCATATTGGCTCTCGTAGATTGTTGAAAACAAGAGCATCAGCGCTCACAACGATAGTGTGCGCTTAGCTTGCAGTGTAAGTCTGCTTAGGCTGCGGGTACGAGGGGCCGAGCTCTTGGATGCTCAACTTGGCCAACCACTGGCCCATGTCGATGGCAGTCTCAAGCGACTTGCCCTGCACAATACCAGCGACGAAGCCTCCTGCAAACGCATCACCCGCGCCGTTGGTGTCGTTGATCTTGTCCTCGCTGATGGCGTGGACGTTCACTGACTTGACGTCTCCATCGGCGCTGACAGCAATAGTGGGGTCGGTGCCCTGGGTGAAGACGACGGTCCTGGAGCGCTTGGAGTTCTTCTTTGGGCCCTTTGCGATGGTCTCGGCGATGGTCTTGACGTCCTTGGACTCGATGCCGTGCGACTCAGCGAATGCGGCAGCCTCAGTCTCATTGCCGATGAGGATGTCGACGTAGGGCAGGATCTCATCGAGAGGGTCCTTAAAGAATTGGGAGATGAAGGGCGCGGAGAGGTTGAGGATGAATGTCTGCCATGATCAGTCGATACACGTGTTAGTTCTTCATTGAGCTCACCTTGTTCTTTGCGGCAGCCTCCTCAGCGAGCGCCTTGATCGCAGGCACGCAGACGGTCAAGTGGAAGCCACCGACGTAGAAGACTTGGGCGTTTTCGACCTGCTTCCAGATGTGGTCCTGCTTAAGGTGGTCGACCTTGTAGTTGTTGGCAGCGGCGAGGTCAGTGCAGAGGGAGCGGTTGTGGCCAGTGATGACGACACCGCAACGGCCAGTGGGTGTCTTCTCGTCGTATAGGTACTCGGTCTTGACGCCAGCCTCGCTCGAGATCCTTTCCAGGGTCTCGCCGTACTTGTCCTTTCCGATGCAGCCAATGTAGACGGTCGAGTTGGGCTGCAGCATGTACTGAGCTCCTCGCGCCGTGTTCTGTGCTGCTCCTCCAGCAATGAGGACGGCCTTGTAGTTTTGGATCAGGTCTTCATAGAGGCCCATGTGCTTCTCGGGGTCGGCGAGAATGGCGTCATTAGCCTTGAGGCCATATTTGTCGAGCAATGCCTGGTCGCTGGCAATTCGCCGTTAGCAGAAGCTCTTTGCTATGTCCTATTCGTTGCCGGTAAATTGACCTACGCAACACCCTGGATGTCGAGGAGAGGGTTCTCCAGGCACAGAAGCTCGTATTTGCCAGCCATTGTGGTTGTGTATGGTTGTTTGTGAGGTGTGGTTGGAAGTGGACGATGGTGTTGTTCTGGCGCTGCAAACGTGGGGCAGAAATGTTGCTCGAGGGAGGGGCGACCCTAGGCTCCGCTCCCACTAGCTTCGGAGAGTAATCTTCGGCAGTCCAAGAAACCCCCGAGTCCGCCAACCTATCTCCTAAATCATCCGCTTGCTCATTGAATCTGATGAGCAGGTCACCTTGAGACTTACTGACCATCCTCTTCCACCAGTTGCGAATAACAATTCCACATTCACGCACGATCATCTCACACTGCATTATCAAAGAGCAGAGGCAGTCAAAGGCGCAAACCAAACGGTAATTTAATTTAGATAAAGCAAAAAGAGCAGCCCTAGACACGAGCACATATGTCGTATGGTCAGGAAATGCTGCTGCATTTCGCTGTACCTGACACGTGCCCAGCCCAAAACTGAAGCAAAGTGTAGCATAAGAGGACCCCATCGTCTTACAATTTATGTCGCCATGTCCATGGCTGACCTGTGGCTACGGACGTGAGCCAGGTTTTGATTGCAGCAGTGGTCCGAAGCAGGTGGGTCGAGCTCACTGCAATGGCGCAAAGCTTGCCAGCCCATTTCATCGTGATCCATACCCCAAGGAGACTCGGTGTAATGCCTTATTCAAAGACGCGAACCATGGAAGCATCACACGACGATACGGCTACTCAGGCACCGTGAAGGTTGAGCGATAGTATAAACAGCGCTAGATGCAGCATTTCACAGCTGCACTCAACTCCATCAGCCGCCTTGGCCATTTGGTGGTGTACGTCCCCAAGAACTGTGCGCCTGGTCCTGATACGAGCTGAATAACAACGGACTTGCCATGTGAATATCGTTCGAGGCTCCGTTCTGGTTACCAATATGCGTGTTTCCGAAGCTGTTGCCATAGACTGGGCCCCAGTTAGAGGGGCTTCCGGTGCTCGGATTCCCCCAGGCTGCGCCGTTTCCGAGTCCACCACTAATGGGCCGTGCGGCGCGAGGTACGGAAGGCGTCGTTTCAGTGCCTAGCAAAGAGTTTGATGAGCTCTGGCGAACGTGACCGAAACCATTGCTAGCCATGGGTGACCTGCTGTGATCACCCCCAAAGCCTGCGCTGTTTGCCATAGCAGGCGAAGACGGCCCTGGTGTTCCGTTGTAGCTACGGTTCCAAATCGAAGTGTTGTTCCAGTGGCCATCAGGCACCGAAGGAAGATTCGCTGCTTGGCGCATTGACGACGTCGAACCTGTCCTTCCCATCGGAGTCGCAAGCAATGCAGTGGGGGCTGCAGGAGACAAAGGCTTGTAGTTCTTGACAGAATTGACCAAGTCGTTGATGGACAGCGAGGCAGGCGCATAGATACCATCATTCACCATGGTAGTATCCTCAAACGTTTGCTCGGGAGGTGTGGGTGGCAAGTTCTCGTCTTCCTCGGGTAGAGGGTCGAGGCCATCATCTGCTCCAACAAGGTCATCCACCATGCGATGCATTGCCGACTCCTTCGCAACCGTAGTGGAGGCAGACTCAGAAGGTGCCGCGACGCTCTGCGACTTCTGATCTTCTGCAACTGGAGCATAGGCTGGGAACATAGGCAGGTCGGTAGACTGCAGAACGGGAGACATCTCTGGGCGGTTAGTCGGACTAGCTAGTAGTTCTGATGGTAGTCCCTCCTCGCGATAGATGAAGCGTGAGCCGTCCAGGTCTAGCGGCGCATCGGCAGTCTGGGTAAGCATCAGTCCATCGATCAGTAAGTCCTTAACGCGCATCAACATCTCCACGTTTGGATGGTTACGCTC